ACTTGAGCCCAGGAATTTGAGGTTGCTGTGAGCTAGGCTGACGCCACGGCACTCTAGCCCGGGCAAAAAAGAGTGAGACTCTGTCTCAAAAAAAACAAAAAAAACAAAAAAAAACCACAACATAACAAAACTGGTGGGATGCAACTAAATCAGTATTTACAGAGATAAATTTATAACAATGCTAGAATTAGAAAAAGAAAGTTTAAATCAATTATATAGATGTCTACTTTAAGAAGGGAGATTTTAAAAAGAGCAAATTAACCAAAAGAAGAAAAAAGGAATTTATAAAGATTGAGAGCAAGAAACAGAAATAGAGAAAAGCAATTGCTGAAAAGATCAAAAAGACTGATAAACTTGTCAGCAAACTTACCAAGAAAAAACAAGAAAGAGAAAACACAAATTACCAATATTACAAATGATCAATATTCCCAAGAAACGATAATGGATTCTATAGTCATTAAAATGGTAATTAGGGATTATGAACAACCTTCTGCCAAGAAAGTTAAATAAAACAGAGAAATTCCTTAAAAAACAAAAACAAAGAAAATTGATGAGAAAAAACAGAAAGTCAGAACAGTATTAAATCTATTCATTAGATTTGTAGTTAAAAATCTTCCAACAAAGGAAACTCAAGGCATATAAAGCTTCACCGGCAAATTCTATATCTTACATAAACTCTTCCAAAAAATAAAGAAGAAATATTACCTAACTTATTTTATAAGGCTAGCAAAATCTTGTAAGAAAAGAAACTACTACCTCTCATGAACAAAAATTCTTATAATATTACCAAGCCAAATCCAGCAAGGCAGAAAAATGATAATACACTGGCATGCAACACTAATTTAATATTTAAAAACCCACCAATGTAATTTACCATATTACCAGAATTAAAGGAGAGAAATCATATGATCTCAATAGATAAAGAAAAAGCATTAGTCAGAAATCAATACTTATTCATAACAAAAACTCTTACCAAACTAGGGATAGAAGGAAACTTCCTCAACCTAATAAAGAACACAAGTGAAAAACCTGCAGCCAACATCATACTTCATGATGAAAAGCTCAACATTTTCCTGCTTAAATTGGGAATAAGGCAAGAATATCTACTTTACCATTTCCATTTCACATTATAATAGAGGTCCTAGCCAGTGCAATAAGGCAAGAAAATGAAATATGATCACCCTCCCCCATATATTCAGGTTCCACATCCACAGATTCGACCACCTAGGGATCAAACTCTGCCACCTCTCAAACATCTACTCACTCCATGACATAAATCAAGACTGAATAAAATGTGAATGTGTTCAACAAATGCAGAAAACTATACATTTACATAAACAATTGCTCTTACCTAAAATTCTACTTCAAATTTAAAAAGGAAGATTATATACACACACGTAGTACATATATAATATCACTTAGAAATGATATACGTACCTAATTTTAGTTCAATTGCTGTATTGGTGTTACATTTGTATTCTGCCAGTTTCTTCTCCACTGCACTCTTATATTCTACCAAAAATTTCTCCATAGCACCAAATCCTAAGAAAAAAGGTTTTTAAAAGGTTTAATTGTAAGTGATTTAAATAGTGAGACCTACAAATAGAGTTTTTGTTTTCTTTTTTTTTTGAGACAGAGACTCACTCTGCTGCCCAGGCTAGAGTGCTATGGTGTGCCTAGCTCATAGCAACCTCAAATTCCTGGGCTCAAGAGATTCTTCTGCCTCAGCCTCCCAAGTAGCCAGGACTACAGGCATGTGCCACCATGCCTGGCTAATTTTTTCTATTTTTAGTAGAGACAGGGTCTTGCTCTTGCTCAGGCTGGTCTCAAACTCCTGAGCTCGAGTGATCCTCCCACTTCAGCCTCCCAGAGTGCTAGGAATACAGGCGTGAACCACTGCCCAGGCCTCAAATAGGGTTCTTATTAGAAATGGGATAAAGATAAGATTTAAAACATGCTAATAGTTTATAAATGTACAGGTCATTCTCCACATCCTCCTACATAAATGTACTGAATATGAATGCCTCATTACAAGAGAAAAAGAAATCACTTTTGAGACAGAGGCTTATGAACTAGGCATGCTTTTACATAAATAAGCCTGAAAATTAACATGACAGACTACTGACATTTCTGAACATTTAATATTAATACTGATTACCTTCTAGGATTTATACTCAAATAGTCTTTCTAAAAAGAAATATAATGCTAAAGAATGCCACTGTTTCATTATCAGATATGAGAAGCAAATTGAGAATGTCCTTTGATAATTATGATAGCATTTTATTTTCAATATTGGAAAAATTCTACCCAGAGTGCTTCAGATAAAAAATTGATACTGCATGGATTACTTCAAGAAGGATACACAAATATCTGGTAAACATGGTTACCCCTGGGATAAGAAAGGAGGAATGGGGACAGGGGTAGGAAGAAAAAAATCTTTACACTGTATTAAAAAAATTTTTTTACCAAGTGTGCATGAAGTCATAAATTGTAGGCTACTGGAATGACCAAATGGTTTTACTACAAAGTGGCTACCCACCAATATATATGACAAATAATTAACACTGGGAGAAATCATTATCAAGAAAACTTTCAGGGGCCGGGCGCGGTGGCTCACGCCTGTAATCCTAGCACTCTGGGAGGCCGAGGCAGGAGGATC